TTCATGTAAGTTCTGTAAGAGTATTCTCCTTACCCCATTTATTCCACTCTACCAAACATCTGACAGCCATAATGTTCAGTTGTATAGCAGATTAGTGATGATGGAATGCAGCCATTGTCTTATGTGTGTAAATTCCCCTCAGAGAGATTAAATATTTATGAATGTGTCACAAGTTGCTTACTACTTGTTAGCTCTTCTCAGCAAATAGGGCAACAGTAATGTGATGGGATACTACTTTATTTGGGGAGGGGTTTAAGTCACCTCCTGGTAAACAGAAACAAGTAAAGCAGTATTAACCACTGAAAATAATCTTAAAATACTGCTATCCTAAGGAGCCTTAAATTCCAGATATTGTAAATCAACAATCACCTTACAGAGACAGGGTTTAAAAGTCAGGAAAATGAGAAAAACTGAGGACATTCATCTGAAGCCATTTTTAGATTTGGAGTCAGTTGAGCTTCTGAAAGAGAAAGAGGTAATGACTCAGATAGGGAGTCGACGTTCTCTTTTAACTTCAGCTGCTCTTATTTAGCCCATTCAGTTATTCCCAAATGAGTGCAAAACAAACCAAAATATATGAACATATCTATTTAACTAATCTTTGCAGTAATCACACATTGAAAAACTAAATGCATCACATTTTCTAATGTACTCACTGAACAAATCTGTTGGGCTTCACGGCAGAGTAGAAATAGAAAGGAAACAAGAATAAAGGACACAGTGGCAATAATAAAATCTAACACTGACCAAAGACTCACTGTATGACAGGCACAATTGTAATCACTATTCATGTTTTAACATGTTGGAATTCCACAACAGTATTTTTTCCTTATATAAATAAGAAAGAGGAGTTCTGAGTTTCCAAACATTGAATTGGAACCAGTGTTCCTATTATTGGACTATGGAGTTCTTACTCTTTCAACCTAACTGTATAAAATGCATGTGTGGGATACAATACAATTGTGTGGACACCAGGCAAACAGCAGTAAGCAGAAAGTTGAAAACAGAAGAAACCTGAATTTTTATATCTATAAAGATTGTATGTGAGAGGGCCAGGGAGCCAGACCAGAATGATAACATGTTCCTAATGGCTCCTACAGAAACTAGGCCTTAGTTTCAGTTTACTGGATGTGGTTGGAGATGAGCAAAGAGCTCTTGTGTAGAACCATAACTCAGGGACAATCAATCAACAGGCACCCCTTTGATCTTCTGCTGGCTTAGCAGATGACTACAGCTTTCTGCTGGATCAGCAGATGACCACAGTCTCCTGATAACTAAAGATAACTTTTCCTACCCTGCCATTAAAAAGTCCCTAAGCACTAGGCATCCCACAAATCAGCCCCCACCAGTCAGCCCCCACACTAATCTTTCCTTTACAAATAAGGCCCAGGTTAATCCCTCCTCCATGGAATTTCCCTAACTCCACTTCAAAGCAGCTTATGACCTTCTTTGAGGGTTTCTACTGCCACCCCAATGTTGGATAAAGCACTCTTGTTTAGTACATACATGGCTGTTGGTCTTTTCTTGGACGCTTCTCTTGGACACTAACAATGTGCAAGACAAAAATTTAGAATATACTGATTCACTGCTTAGAAAGGTCTGTGTTCTTTTTCTTAAGAGAGAAAAATGTGTTTATTTAAAGCTTATTCCATATTCATTAGTAGAATGAAAGACTGCCTACATTGAACTTCAAAAATACTTTATGGATGAACAATGTAACTACTTCTTTGTTTTAATTTACTATAAAAGAATTTGTGCTTTATAAAGTTATTAAAACATAATTAACAGATACTTATTTGGAATAAAATTGAATTTGGTATTTTTATATATGTAGTCTGTAACATAGATTAAACTTTTTGAGTGACCTATTTTTATTTCTATAAATCACTTTATTATAAGAAATTTACAAACAAAATACATCATGCAGCTATATTTATATAGTCACTCAAATAAGCACTTGTACATACTCAACATCTATGCAACTCATCAAATTGTCTATACAATCAGAGCAGTCATTTAGAAGCTTTGAAACTTCACTTGGGATTTTACACCTTCATTATCAATTACAGTTTGGCACTTATCCACTACACATGGAAAGAGAAAAATAAACAAATAAAAATGAAAAATCTGTTACAACATTATAGAGGGAAAAAATTTGCTATATATCTTCTTTCACAACTCATGTGATATTTATCTGCATTCGGTTCTTCCTCATCATCTAATATTTCCCTTTCTTTGTTCTCCTAGAAAATCTTTACTAATTATACTTCAGACATGGGTTAATTACCAGAATTCACAAAAATTACAGAAATTAACTACCATGGAAATAAAACTTCCAATCAACAAGTGAACTAATGAATGGATAATTTTAAAAAAAAAAAAGAAGCACAAATGACCAATAACTATTTTTAAATGTGTTCAACATCATTAATCAACAGGAAAATGCAAATTAAATCTACTTTGACAAACCATATCATCCACCTCAGAATAGCTATCATCAACTAACCCAACAGCAAATGATGGAAAGAATGTAGGGAAAAAAGAGGAACCTTTATTTATCCACTGCTGGTGGGGATACAAATTAATAGAGCCATTGTAGAAATCAATTTGGACATTCCTCAAAATTTATGGCTAAACCTACCATATTACTCAACTGTTTCATCCTCAGGCACATCCCCAGAAAATTCCATTCTCCACAACAGAGATGTATGTACCTCTATACTTACTGCTGCTTTATTCACCATATCATAAAAACAGAACATACCTAGTTGTCCATAAGCAAATTAATGGGTAATGAAAATGTGCACATTTTTAAGATGGAACATTATTCATCTCCAAGGAAAAATTATATAAAAATTTGTAGAAAAATTATATAAAAATTTGTAGAAATACAAATGGGCTTAGAAATTGTTTAGTGTCTATATTCCTCAATATGTCTATCATGCAATGTGTTTTATAAATATATGTTAACATGAAACCTAAATATTTTAAGATACACTGTTTGCTAATATAGTTAGCCATTTAACTTAGATAATTACTTTTCTTGACAAAAATATCTCACGATGATTTGAATAGAATATATTAGAATGGTATCAAATAATATATGTCACACTCCTAGCAGGACTCAAAAGTGGTAACTACTTCACTTTGGTATAAAACTTGAGCTAAAATTTCTCACATTTATTTTATCTCAGAATTCTTTTTTGTTTTATTTTTTCTCATACTGAAATATTGAGTCTACTTTTCAAATAATCAATTAATAAAATCAATACATCTTGTGTGGTTCTCTGTTCCTTACTGTTGGATTGATTTAATGTCTTAAGTACATTTTAAACTAGACCCTTCTTTCTTATGCCAATGCAAACTATTTTAGGTTTCACTTTTCCCTAAATGAGTGCAGTTCCTTTCCATTTTGTTAAATTGCTTTTAATTTTCCTTCCTTCCCATTTATCTAATTTTTTCCATTACAATAGGAAAAACCTTTCCCAAAATACAGATTTCATTATTATCCAATATCAAGTCTAAGTCTTAGAAATAATTTACACATCTTTTAGTCTGGCTTCTGTGAATCTATCTTTTTTGAGTCTTTTCTAACATACCCAGATTTCATTCTTTATAGGCTTTATTCACATCATTACTTGAAATTGCCATTCTGATGATTGCCAAATTATCATTCATTCTTGAAGGCAATCTAAGTAGCTAGAAAACCTTGTTTCTCTTTTTGAAATTCTTTTGGTAGTTTATATGATTTTTCTATTACCCAATATGTTAAATTTCAGTTGTTTTTATGTGTTCATTTCTTCTTTGTTGCTCAGAGGCTGGTGACAGAAAATTTATTTTAGCATTGCAACAAAATTGGTGATAACATACTCTTTGGATTGTTTAGGGCTTTTGATTGATGTTCATAAAGGTCATTGATTTACTTAATGTTTTAAATCAACTTATAAGGTAGTTATTGTAGGCAGATAACATTGTCTATATTAAAAATGTCTAAGTTATTGTAAAGGTTTTGTTATTCAATAAAACAATGAACTACTAATATACCTAAGTTCTATGTGCCCTTGTGGCTATGATTTTCATGCCCATTTCTACAAAGATAATAAGCAATGACATTCAAATACTGAATTTCAGTGATCATGTATGCAAAGTGTTATTGGACACTTAAGAAAAAGTTATTTTCAAAAATTTGAACCCCGTCCTTATTTTAATTTCCACCCCTTGCTATCATATAAAATATATTTATTAAATATACAGACATATAAATACCAAGGAACATATCACAATTTAGTTATATGTTCATTTGTTCCAAATTATTTCAAAAATGTGATCATGATTTCTACTCTAATTTTTTTTAAATTTTAACCATGATTTAGGATTCAACAATAAAAATATAAGACGCTGACTTTTTTCCTCAGTTATATAGAATCCATCAGTAAAGTATCTGCCTTTGACATCACAATATTGAGATATTAAAGCAAATGGATATGTATGTCTAAACACAGATGTTTATTTCTTGCTTTTGTTCCATATTCATAAGTCAGTTCTCCACTTATCCATTCTAAAAGTGCTATAAGAACTACATGTCATTATTCTTATCCCACCATTGCACTTAATAGGAGGGTTGCCACCCTTCTCCCTGTCTCTTTAACTTGCCAGTTTTACCCCAAACCTATGCCTGACTTTTTTCTGCCCTAGATCTTCCTTTATTCTTTTCAATTTTCTACGTAAAATATATCAATTAAATACTTTTTCAGTTTAATCCAGATATAATCTTTGTAGAAAATGAATATAATATATGTACATGACTGGTTTTATGAGACCAAGTATTGGTTAGTTGGTAGACAGTAGACAATCCTTTGAAATAAGCCAAGGTACAATGGAGGTTTTCTTTTTTATGTTCATTTATTTAATTATTTTTCCTGAAGAAGTTAAACACTCTGCATTGGCATTATTTACTTCCTATTCACAGTAGGTCACATATAAATTCTGCTTTGTTACAGGAACTCAACATATTGTATGAAAGTATCCATCTCACTGACAGTAGGAGAAAATGACACTGGACTCTGCTACAATTCCAAGATGAAGTACTTTGAAAAAGCTGAACTTAGCAAAAGCAAGGAAATTTCATGCCGAGACATAGAGGACTTTTTATTACCAACCAGGGAACCTGAAATCCTTTGGTACAAGGTATGGACTCTGGAAGATTTTATTGCCTACAAAAAATTGAATGATCCTGTTATTCTAGAGAAATCTAGATAGAAGATTAACTAACATAGAACTCATGTCTTACAGGTTTTTATGAGGTTTTATTTATTTTGATTTTATGTATGTGAGTGTTGCCTGAATGTATGTCTGTGTATCATGTGCATGCAGAACCTGCAGAAGCAATTTAGAGGACATTAGATCCTTAGGACTGGAGTTATAGATGGTTGTGAGTGGCCATGTGAGTATTAGGAGTTGGACATGGATCATGTGAAAGAGCAGACAGTACTCTTAACTGTCTAGCCAGCTCTACAGTCCCTAGTCAATATGTTTTAAAAACATATGCTTTGATAAATAAAATATTGGTTAATATTTGCACTATTGGTCTACTGTGTAAGCCATTGTGTTTGTATTTATATTTTGCTTATATCAACAACTGTTTCACAAGTTTGGAAACTGAAATAGGTTGAACAATCATTTCTGGGCTTAGCATTCCAGCATATCCCAAGGAAAGACAGAAACAATAGTTATTTTCTTCTGTGATATAATGGTACCAAAATTTTAATGGGATATTATATTCAATGATCATAACTTTGCCTATAATGTAATCATTTTCATATATAACTATCTATATTATAATACAGATAATATTAGTATAATAGTGTTTTCTTCAAAAATGCCATCACATTATTTTATTTGACTATCACATTGCTAATATTCATTGTTATTTCAAAATTGCTTATGGTTTTAAGCTTATTTTTACCACCTAAAACTAGTTTTGGTTTGGAATATACTCAAAAGTGAATATAGAATCTGTGAGTGTTCACATGGTTTTGCTCACAGATTAAAAACTCCTAACTTATCATTTTCTTTGTCTAAGTGGTTGGTAGTTGGACTTTAAGAAACTCGGCCTTAAAAAGAAAAAGAAAAACAAAAGGCCTTTTACTACCTAGTATGCCCCTGTCAGAATCAGAATGTTAACCCTTGTAATTTAGAAACCCATGAATTAGAAAAAAATATTGAAAATAAAGCAAGAAACCTAAAGAAGCTCTAAAACATTTCTTCAAAATTAGCAGCATTCTTCTCAAAGACTTAACTTTGATTCTGGATAACAAGCAAAGGAATCTCAGAGCATCAAGGGAAGTGTTGAAAGTCATTTTTCAACTCTTGGTTTTCCTGAACAATGTCAAATATCACTAAATTATTAGCCCCATGGGTTTTGTTCCTGTGGGAATTAGTTTTGTTGTTTCAATTTTGATAATTGAGTACATCTCATTCGGGCCATTCTGAAGTTTGCCTGACTTTCACAGGGAACCTTTAAGAATATGATGACAGTAAAGTTTTCTAAAATAACATTTTTTTCAAGCATTTGTGTGTGAACATACTAGACATGAAGTTTTTTCACAAATAAGTTGATTTTGAGATATGTATTTCTTCCTTATCATTTGCAGGGAATATCTTAAGTTTTTCTGAAATATGAGAGAAAATATACATACATGTGTACCTTTCAGTTACAATTAATTCAATAAACTCAACTTCAATTATGGTTTCCTAGTTAGATGTTATTCATTTCGAGAGGTTTTCCACCATTGCAATAGTCATTTATGTTATAAAAAAACATCACAATAGAGTGGAAGGCAGAGATGCAGCATATATTATATCACACTTTATTTTTCTTCAGTCAAAATTTAACATCTGCCACATAAATAATGGACATTAGGAGACAAATTATAAGGAATAATACTTTAATAAAAATTTATACAATTATGACTGGTTTTTTGAGACAGGGTTTTTCTGTGTAGCTTTGGAGCCTATCCTGGCACTTGCTCTGGAGACCAGGCTAGCCTCGAACTCACAGAGATCTGCCTGCCTCTGCCTGCCGAGTGCTGGAATTAAAGGTGTGTACCACCAATGCCCGGCCAATTATGACTTTTGATGCAACTAATACAAGAAAATAATATGTATATTTTGTTTTCAAATAACTGAAAAATAGCTATACATAATTTCACAGAGACACTGATCTGCATATATTATTGTCCTTAAAAATTTGACTTACCAATAAATAGTTTTACCTGTCTATAGTTTCAAAAGATTTAAAGCACTTTTGTCCTCATTCTATTAGTTTAAATACTAGCATGGGAATAGGGATTTATGTTTTGGAAAAAAAACAGAAATCTTTTGATTCAATAACTTTACCATCAAATAGATCATAATTTGGCAAGTCCATTAATAATGAAAATGCATATTTTTGGTGTGTTGCAAACTAATTGCCCTCATTCATTACTAATGGGAGTATAATCTAGTATAGCTCTTAGGAAATCATTATAGATACTTTACAAAATGTTAAAAATAGAATTTCCATATGAAAGAACCATACCACACTTGGGATAGACTCAAATAATCCTATATCTTACCATGAGATATATATGTATCCATTTTTTTGCTGCATTTTCAAAAAAGTAAGGAAATGGATCAAGTATAAATGCCCGTCAACAAATAAATGAATAAAGAAAATATGGTATATATACACAATGTTATTTTTCTCAAGCATAAACAAAAAAGCAAGAAAATAGATCCTAAAATATTATATTAAAAAAAGTTACCCAGTCTCAGAAAGAAAAAAAATCACATTTTTCTCAAATACACAGATTCTGTGGCTGTTTATGTACATATAAATAAGAGGTTGTGAGAGTGAGAATAGATTATCAACCTAGATAGAATTTAACAAGAGGGAAGAGGTGTTGCTAAAGCCAACTAAGGTAGTCAAGGTAAGTGAAGCAAGGTGACATGACAGTACAAAAGAGGCTAGTGAGCCTGAAAGGGCACAAAGGAAGAGGGAGGGAGATGGAGGAGAAGAATGTACAAGAAAACAAAAAAAGCAAATTTTTTTTGAAAAATGCCATAAGAAAAACGAACTCTTTGTTTGCCAATAGAAAATCAAAAGGCCTGGTATACAAATGTTAGCTCTTTCTTCAGTATATAGAGGCTTCATTGTAAATAACTGCAACAGTTATATTTTGAAATAGTATTGGAACAGAAACATTTATCTTATAAAAATATTTCCCACTGTATTTAATAATACACTTTACATTTTAGGTAATGAATACTAATATAGTCAATTTCACAATCATCCTTTATGAATTATTTGCATTTAAGTTTTATATTGAGTGTGGTTAGCATATACTTGTTACAGTATCTAACAAATAAATATGTATCTGCTACCTAAGTACTGCCATTAATAAGTTAATGTGACCATAAAACTACTCTTCAAGGTGATGTTCCTGATATCCAGATTTGGAAAAAAGAATGAATTGCTTAGTATTAATTCCAAATCTTTAGCCCCAATAAAATCCTAATGTATAAATTATTGTTATAGATCAGACATTGTACTATATTCATACAAATCCTACCATGAGGCAGGATGATCAGAACTTAAAGACTAATCTCAGTTACATAGCAAGTTCAAAGCCAGTTTGGTCTATAGGAGACCTTGATTTGTTTTTTTTTAATGAAACCAAAATTATTGTTTTAATGGTTTAAAATATTTTTTACTTATCATGTATACTACCTGATTTTATCTTCTTTGTGTAGGAATGTAGAACAAAAACATGGAGACCAAGTATCGTGTTCAAAAGAGATACTTTACTCATAAGAGAAGTCAAAGAAGATGACATTGGAAACTATACCTGTGAATTAAAATATGGCGGCTTTGTTGTGAGAAGAACCACCGAGTTAACTGTTACAGGTAATCACAATCAGAATTTCATTTGCAAGTAAACAAACTGTCGTTTGAGTCAAATTCAGTGCTGCATATTGATGTTTTTTCAACTTGGGTAATGAAAGAAGCACTCAATCAAATGCTAAGTGGATTCCTATAGGTGAAATTTATTCCTCCTTGTTTTTAAATCATCTTGTGCTGAAATACATTTGAAAGGTTAAATAGAATATGTTTGGGGAATTATACAAATGTTAGCTTTTGAAAGTACTTGAAATAATGAGTTTACAATTTTTGAAGATTATGCTTGTACTTTGTAGTGGAATCATTTTTAGAAACATTTTCTAGAGTAACAGAATGGAATACATGAAATCTACCACTTTATTTATGTCTTGCTGAACATTAGACAAAACATATTTCTGTTTGGCATATTTATTATTATGCAGATAGCACATATGATCTCATGGGCTGAGAAAAAACAATTTCAGACAAATTCATTTAAAAATGTAAGATTTTTTTAAGTATCACAGAAACATTCTCATATCATGTTAATTCAGAAGGTAATCAAAATAGTATCAGAGTACTGCTTATTAAGACAATGTGCACTTCATAAGTCTAACAAGCTTTATTGAATTAATGTGAGCTCCAGAGTTTTAATTTACTAATGTATAAAATGATGAAGATGGAATTTGCATTATAGGGGATTTGCAAGTGTGAGATGAATTAAGATAATGTGTATACAATAAATTTGCAATGAGAAAATCCCAATGTTCTTTATGCAAAGAATTGTATTCATGATTGATGGGGGACGTCCTTCTGTGTATGTTTATCGTATTGATTATTGAATAAAGCACTGTTGGGCCAATGAGGCAGCAAATAAAGTGGGACTAGAAGTAGAGGAAGGTTCTGGGAAATGTAGTAAAGTCTTATGATCCAGGCAGGAAATGACATAGCAGGCAGACTCAGAAAATAAGCAAGGACAAGCAGGAAATTGCTCTCTTCTTCTTCCTCTCTTCTCCGTGGAGCTGCCATGTGATCCGCTGGCAAGAGAGAATGCATACTGCCAGCATCTTCAATACGATAAGTCTTATAAAATATATAGATTAATAATTATGGTTGATAATTAAGACTGAGCTAGCAGATAAGAAATCCTAGTCATCAGCAAGCAGCATTGTACCTAATATAAATCTCTGTGTGTTATTTTGGAGGTCCAAACTTTGCAGCAGAACTCAGGCAGCTGGCGTAAAGACTTATCATTACACATGATCTTTTTTGTTTACAACAATAATCACTTTTTTAAAAGTTCCTCATGGAAGGCAGAAGAGAAGCCAGGACAAAAAAATAGGAAATTAAGGATATTTGAAATTCTTTAATTGAAAGATTCTTAATGACTTTATGGGGCCATATTTGTGAAACAATTTTAGAACAGTATAACAATAATTTCACACCATCATTAATGCTTGTAAAATTGTTTTTTTCTATATGAAACAACTATCATTTTGATATGTACGTGCATCCATACATCATATAAGAATCCATTTCTTTAAAATCCTGAAGCATAGGGCCTAGGCCCATGCCCGTTTGTCTTGGCTCAGGGAGTATTCCTCTATAGGGAATGATCTCTTTTCATAACTTTAGTTTTTACAGCCTCCTCATATCATAAAGACATAAAGAGCTGCACCTTTCTGCCTGTCCTTGGCTTTCCTTTGCTTTTAAATGTTATAGAATATCATAATTGAAGAGCAATTAAACCATTCAGTAATAAGTGAGCATGAGAATGTACTATATATATATATATATATATATATATATATATATATATATTCACTCATTTGTATTTTGGCTGTTTGGGTATTGTGCCTGCATATATGTCTATACATCACAGGGAGGCCTAAAAATACCCGGAACTGTAGTTACAGATGGTTGTGAGTCACTAAGTGGGTGCTGAGAATCTTAATTTAGTCCCCTAGAGTAGCAACAAGTGCTCTTGACTACTAAGCCATCTCTCTAGCCCCACATACCTTCATTTTTATTTATATGTCTGTCCAAAACATTTTTTAAAGCTTTTAAAGGAAGAATTTAAACAAAGTGATTGAAATCCCTATGTTATATACTTTCAGACCACCTAAAGCCAAGTCATTTCTAGGACAGGAAGCAACAATAAGAGAATGAATTAGGAAAATGTTCTATCTTGAAAAACTTTCCTAACTAAATGTGACACGTAAGCAAATTACTCAGGAGCTAAGAAAAGAAAAACTTACTGGAAAAATAAAACAAAAAGAATGAGGAAAGTGCTAAAAGGATGATGGTTTTAGTAACATTTTTATACTTGGTACATTTTTAACAGAGTTAATGCAGCAATATATTTAAGCCACTTTCCAATCAACCATGGAATAAATTCATGCTTTCAAAAGATACAACTTCCTCCTCTTTTTATGGATGAGAAAGCTGAAATAAAGAAAGGTTAAATGGCTTTATCAGGGTCACAAAGCATCATGGTGACAAATGTAGGAATAAAATTTAATTCCCTGAACTTCAGTCTGTGATTTACTCCACTAGATAATTAATAGTAAGACACTGTGGTTTTCATATTAGCTATGCTGATTGAAATGAAAGATTTATCATTTAGGTTCAACTGAAACACATTGTACTGAGACCTTTAATTCTTCTGCCAGTGATGTAATTAAATAGTGTATTTCTGGGTCTAGTTTGAGGGTAAAAGGATTTTTCCCCTCTCTGTCTCTTTCTTTCAAAATGGTATGTTGTTTTCAAGGAAAGTTGTTTTTGTAACCTCCCACAAAATGATAAAACTGATAGAAAGGGAAATATATACATATATATATATATA